TTCCAGCTAAAATAAAGTATTTTACAGTACTCGCTATGGTGGTCTGTCCTATGCACAGATGACTCCCTCGCTTTAACCCATGGTATGTTTTGCTTTCTAGGTGTAACACATGCCCTTGTGTGGGCATCCCTCACCAGTTATATTGGGCAAGCAGTGAGTCCTAATCTCCGTTCCTCAGCCCAGGGTATATTACAAGGCATACACCATGGTCTTGGTAGAGGGTGTGGGGCTATACTAGGTGGCATACTGGTACATCAAGTCGGTATGTATCCTTTTTTTATTAGTTTTACACTTAAATCTGTTCATATTAGTTACCTTATTTGCATAATTAGTTTTCAGCTATTCCATCAATATCTCAAGTATAAGTAATTTTGAATTAATTTTTAATGTGTCTCCAAAACTCTCAGCACACAGGAGTTCTTTCTAAGCTTTCTTTGATTTTACCTTGCCCGTACATCAAAGATGGAATAGGCAGTTCATATTTATCTCAGTGAATCATTTATTTGTGACATATACCTGTACAAAATACTTGGACAAAAGCCAGCTAAGATTTTCTGTTATCTTGCATGTTTTATGAATCTATTCACGTCTAAATGCAGCACTTTTTTTTGCGATGAGGCATTTGTTTTTATACTATAATATCTGAATTACTTTGAATAAAGCTGGAAATTATGTCCCTTAAAATAATTAAACAAATTAGGCACCAATGTTTTTGTAAGATATCTATTGAGGACATTTGGTAGACTGATTCCCCACTGTTGGTTCAACCCCAAAACTTGTTTGTATTCAAAAATAATTATGACAATGCATGTTTATATTGAAACAAACTATGATAAAGGGAATAATATTATATAACAAAGGGCATGGTCACCAAAGTTCAACTATGTTTTTTTTTAAGCCTTCAAGTTTTGGATTTGTGATTAGAATCAGATGATGCACTTACAGTAGAGCTTTCGTCTGACGAAAATATAATTGTCACACGCAACGTAATATTACCGTAATTGGTATAGTACAGGTGTGATGGTTCAAATACCAAAATGGCAACAGTAACAGAAAGACTTCCCTGGCGGCGATGATAAAATACGAACACGGAGCCAACAGATGAGGTTTCAACTGGTACTGGTATTATTATACTCTGCAAACATCAAGTACAATAACGCGGTAAAACTCCACTACTCCAATAACTAGATACTTAAACTCCAATACAATTCAATGAGATCTCCGATCTGATCTCAGTGCTGAACAACTCCCCTATATATACCCATACTGTCTATAAATAGACCATTACATCAGCATACATAATGAGTCTGGAATTTACTACAAATTTCTAGAATGTTCCATTACCTTCTATTGCCTTCTACTGTGTCCTATTACCTATTCAACCAACTTCTAAAAATTCTACCCAGACACAGTACGGTTCTAGAACATTCTCAGTCACACGGAAGTGGTAAACAAGTCGTATGCGACAATAATAACACCTGTACAGGCGATGTTTTATTACAGACAGTTTTCAATTGTTGTAGGTGTCTTCTATATTCTCAAAATTTGCCAAGTGACATACATGTATGGTAAAAAAAAAAAGATATATTACCAGTAGGTACTTTTTGCTGCCTAAAAGTAAAATTGACAATAATTTTTAGTGGGTGTTTCAAGGAAATTTGTTTTTGCGATGGTCTATGAAAACCGCTGCTAAAATGACATGTTATGTGTACTACGGTACTTTACCATTTTTTTTCTCAAAAAAACAGATCGACAGTGAACCTAAAAAGTTCTCATACTAATACTAAAACAAATAATTCTAGACATATTTTGACACAAAATATTGCTACAGAAACAACCAACTCTGCCAACAATGAGACATCATCTGCGAAGTCAAGATCAGTTATCTTGACACTTCCAAACGAGACCCCACAACCTGTGCTTTCCGTCACACCTCCCATAATCCAGTCCATACAAGTGTTGAAAAGCATGATAGGAGCCAGTGTGCATCCCTGTCTAACTGCCTCGACAGGAAAATAGACAGACACATCACCAGAACACTTAACAGCACTCTCTGTTTCAGAATACAAAGAGGAAATCAGGTCAACCAGAAGGTGTAGGGAAAACCATGAACTTTGAGGATATTTCCATAGGGCCTCTACACAGTTAAAGACCTTGTGAAAATTAATGTAGGATACTAAGAACCCTCTATTGAATTCCTGCATCTGCTCAGACAGCACACGTAGCGCCAAGATATGATCAACGGTGGACCGCTTTTTACTCAGAGTAGCTCAAGAACGCAACAACATTTTAAAATTGTATTAAACACAAATTTTCCGTTTTTCCTGCTTTAGGCACCGAGACAACTTTCAGGGCTGTAGGTGCATCCAGTCTAGCCATCTTAGTATTTTTTGGATATATTCAATGGATGATAAAAGCACCGTCAGATGAAGAAAATGAATTGTCTCAAAAACTAGTCAGCGACTCTGCTCCTGTTGCTCCTGCTGGTGTACCAGCTGATCCTTTTCAACCAACTCTGGAAACTAAAGATGGTGTATTGGGACACTATGGTAGTATACTTGATAATGGTATATCAGGTAAGATCTTTGTGTCTTTGGACTTGTGTGGTAGTATAAACAAAAATGATATATCAGGTGAAATCACGGTATATTTGGACATTATCACATTTCACTGCTGTTACGCATACTGTGATTGGTTGAGACTGGTCACATGACATGGAATAAAAATGGATGTTACATGGTATATCACATGGATGACGTCACTGAAACTATTGCGCAACAATACTGCACATAACAAAATGTCGTTTGCTGCACTGGTGCTGATAAGTAAGATACTCTCTTTTGACGTTTAGGGTATTCTTTATAATGAAGCAAAAATGTATGGTGAAGCCGCCACTGAAACGCCGCAGCCGCGATCGCAGTCATGCGTTCTACACTGTGTGAGCATTTCTATGCTTTCCACGCTAATGCTAATCGAAAATGCTCTAGTTGTGTGACTTTTAATAGAAAGTGTGCTACGTTCGTGAGAATGTAATTTCAGTCACTTCCACAGCACTCTGACATTTTTATCTGGCGAGTGATCAATTTCTCGATTCATTTCAAAAATGTTATACAGGTTGTACTCAATAAATTATGATTGATTGTGCATGATTCACACTGCTGAAACACGGTTACTAAAAAAAGTATCTGTGGCTGAAAATTTACTGTGTGTATTGCGCAGTTTTTTCAGCAAACAATGTATGTATGTTATTGAGTAATGTGAAACCTATTATGATACATAACATAAAATATTGCATACTTCAAATATAAGTGTTGATATTTTGTGGGAGAGCGTGTGTGAGTGATTTATGTTATCGTGCATGGTGATTGTCTGCTCGATGTGATAAAATAAATAACACATGGTCGTTTGCAGCTATTTGCATCTATTAGGAAAGGAAAATTCGATAAAATTGACACATTAATTTT